TTTCGTCAACTAATTTCCGGCGTATTCTTTGTATGGCGTACGCCGTATCTGTTATTACGGTTTATACTATATTTAGAATCTTCATTGTATATTTTTATACAATGCGGTATTAAAATGTTTATGGAAGGAAATCTGCCGGGTCGGAGGAAATAAAATAACGGAAGAAAAATTACAAATACTGTTATCGAAGCCGCGATAATACTTTTTCTAAGATTTTCTTTAATTTGCGCCTCTACTCCGCGTAACGTCGGGTATTTTCTTTCGTCGTTGGATAATTCGCCAACTTTCGACCACCGACGGTGAAATTTTTTCTTATTTCCGAAATGCCAGTTTCCTGGCGTGAAATCTTTTCGCTAAACGTATATTTATTGAGATTCGATTTCCAGATTTCTCTGGGGCATAGACAGAAGATAAGAGATTGTAAATTTTCTCTCCGTCGATTAATGACACCGCCCGTTATATTTTTTATACGATAGCATCTAAAGAGTATATTGTCCTAGATGATTGAAGTGTGGGAAATCCGAGAAATCCGTTTAAACGGACCAATAATAGGTCAAAGAACGGGAGTTTGCTCTCGTGGTAATTGCCATTCTTCGCAATTTATAAGATTATTATTTTTGTTTCTTTCACCACGTCACTCGTCATTCTCGAGTTACGGACCTCGTCTAATTTAATTCGAGTTAGGCGCGTTGTCCGCGGATCGATGCCCGTCCCATTCCGACGAAATCAAATTTAGAAAAGAATCGTCGTCGTTCCGTCCAGTTTTTTCTGATAATTTCGACTAGAAAATTAAGTTTAAATTGTTTTTACGCGATGGTTATCGTTTAAATTATACTTTATGTAATGTAACTTTCTCACGCTGGGTGCGATGGGTGGGATAAGGGGAAAGAGAACGAGAGACTACCGCACTCGGGCCATAGAAATGGTAAAATTTGTCGAGGTCGCAAACCTCCGACGTGTAATTAAGTGGGTTAACCGATTTCGATTATCGATTCCGAAACGTACGAATTATTGAACCTATAAAAGCGAACGATTTGTTGGAGTGAGCGAGAACGAAATTTCTATCTATTAACGTTAATCGTCTTTCGTTTTCCTTACGACGTATTAATATTTGGCGGTTTGATCTCGTATCTTTTAATGGGATTCGGTCGTTAGCTTTTCAAACTGGATCCGAAAAGACATTTATTTCACATTTATCCAGCGCGTGACCATCGATTCCTCCGCATCCATTAAGAAGCGCCACAAATTCAAAAAGTCGTTGGAGAAATCTGACTTTTATTTCGTTTGGCAAATTTCTAACGCGTCGAAGAGATAATTGCCGGTTACGATAGAGCAAAAACGTTATTGATTTGGCAAAGACCGTCCATTTTTTCTGGGATGAGAAAATGCTCCTCGCGACTGGACACATCTCGTTTCCTTTTATTTTTTATCTGACGAAAGTGATTTAATTCGAAAATTTGGCTTCGATACGATACGCTACAATACGTTTCGATACGTCTGGCCACGTAACTACGCCGAAGCCGTGTCCGGTTGGCCGAGGTAACTTTCCGAAAGATTATTTACGTATTTCTTCGTCGTATCGCTAATTATACGGAAACGACCGGTGAAACGGAAGTGACGGAACGTTACGTAATTGGCCGAGGACGATCTACGTCCCCAAATGCCATCGTCGAGTGTAAAAGGTCTCGCTTAATTACGTATACTTATAGAAACGGCCCCGAAGTATTATTATCTGGAATTTTATGGGTCAAACGCGTATTATTTCGTCATATAGACCATAAATAACGACTTTATTAACTTATTTTACTTTATCGCCAGTGGGACGACACTCGAAACGGAATAGAGTAGTCCTATTTTAACTTATCTCGGTCGTCGTTCCCGGCCATATTTTGGTAATATTTAGTACAATTATTCGAGATAAGTAACGAAAGCGAATTTTTTGTTTAATTTTGATGAAATTTTAAAATATTTTCCCCGTTCCCAGTGACGATTTAGCCTCGCCTCGTGCGCGGAGTCGATAAAAAAAGTCGCCATTGTTTCCGTTTCCGGTAAATTACGTGTCTAAAAATAGCCGTTCTAAAAATATTTAAACGTAAATAAAACGTTTTCGTCTACGTTAAAATAATTTTGAGAACCGAAATCCACCAAATACGCAATTCTTAATGTCGAACGGGGTTACGTTGGAGAAAAATCTTTAAATCTTCTCACGTAACGCTATTTGCATTAAACCGATACGTTTCCTATTAACGCCGTTTTGGGCCCCTTCTCCTCGAGAAATATTATTAACGTGGCGTGGAAATTGCGTATCAAAAACGACGACATTTTAAGGTACTCTTTCGGCGCCAAACCGAAATTTTCTTCTCGAAATGAATTGCAAATGTAACGAAGTGTCACGGGATAAAAGTGTTTGTAGAAACGTAAACGATAAGGTAACCGGTCGTTCCTCTACCCCGACAGAATCTAATCGTATTCGTTTCGTGTATTGGAACGATAACTGGAGCTTAACTCGATCAGAAAGAATAAAGTGCGTGCTTGTAATAATTTCCTACAAGTAGTCTATAATTATAAATATTTTTTATTTGGAAACTGTTTTTCGTCAAAATATTCTTCTCGGAGTTAACGTTTTCGATTTAGTCCGATTTTCTTTTTCTTTTGTCGGACGAAATAAACGATCGGGAACGACGACGAAAGAAAGAATTGCGTCATTCAAACGATAAAGAATCGTCTTACAGTATTTTTTAAGTAATTTCGACCAATAAATTCAAAGTTTTCTTTCGTAATAAGGCGAGGTTCCATTCCGTTTCCATTATATCCCGGTGCTCGACTCCGACCACCGGTCTGTTGGCGGAAAGACAGATTTCCTCGTTTCTTAATCGAGATATAAAACGCTGGTAGTTGTTACAAGCTTTACAAATTACGAGCAAAAAGTTTCGTACGAAGTTACGAGCTACTAGTCGTAAACAACTTCGAGTGAAGTTACTTACGATCGAAAACGACTAGGATTATTATAAGTCTCGTAGCGTGTAAATATACTGCAGTTTGTAATTCTTACGCAGCGGGGCCCAGAGACGTTTCTCGGGATAATCTGTCGGGTGACGAAGTTATTCGTTAAAAGGAGACGTCGTCTACACTCGGGACCTCTGGCTAAATACTTGTATCTCGTTCCTTATTACGAAATTTGTTACGCGTCGAATCCACGATGTTCGGAAACCCGTTGGTATTGGCGTTAGCTCCCTTCTTTTATTCCTATTTACATCCATTTTTAGCGTACTAAAATTATACAAATGTTTCCGAAAGATTCCCGGTCGACGTCACGTTCGATAGTTTAACCTTACGAGGAAGTTCGATGCCGTTAGAGTCGGTACGTCGACTGTCGTCTTTCCGAATTCCATCCGTTGCACTTTGTGTTGTGTTTGAAATCTTCGCGCTATTTGTACTACTAATTTATTCGTTTCACTTTCCATCATTCGCCACTCTTCCTTTACTTATAACTCCGAGCGGGATGACGCGTACACTCTCTCTTTTATTTATCTATTTATTATTTATTTCCCGAGAATTACATTTTATCGGTTTGTGTCTATTTTCATACATTAAATGTACAACTTCCTTTACTTTCTCGCTTAGGTCAACGAATTTGATTCGAACTTTCTACGCGGATTTGAAGATTCCGAAAATTGTATTCAGATAATTAGCTTCGTCTTTCCGGAAATACGTCGATTTTTCCACCCGGGCTAATATTTACGCGTAGAACTTATAGGTCACCGGGGTATAAGACCTCCGACGTAACTAAATCGCGACGTAATCGACGGATGCCGCGTCAAACCGGATATTCGTAATAATTAAAACGGGTCTTCGTCTTCGGTGATACGTAATCCCGCATAAGGTATCTCGAAAGGGAAACACGCGCTACGTCCGTAATAAATGTCGCGCGATGAACCTTCGAGCCACGAACTCTAAAGCCGTAAAATTTCGTGTTACTCCTCGATAAGGAAGGGGTACGGTAATCCTTATCGTGGAATAACACTTTCTTATTATTAATTTTGTCAAACTTAATTACCATATTACAGAAAATTACAATTTAGAAAAATCTTATAAATAATTTTATCGGGCGCCTTACGGAAACGTCTAAAAATTAACTGATTTATTTACCTAAAACGAAATGATTTCCTCTCGTTTCGTTCCAACAGATGGCAGCATACAAATTACAAAATATTTCAGAAAAAAAGACACTTTTATCGGCATTGTTGCCGGAACATTTCGTTTTCCCAAATTCGGTTTGTTTCTTACAAATTTCTTGTAAGACGACCTCGGACTTATCTTCGTAGAAATAACTCTTTTCTGTTTCTAAAACTAAGACTTTTTTGTGACTTCGTCCCGGTAATGGAGTGGACGGTGACGAAAGAGTACGATAGATCCCACTCTTACCACCTAATTAGAAAACCTTCGTTAAGCCAGTCGTCGTATTTAATATACTGTAATGCATCGAACGGGTCGAACTTAAACGCGATGACGAACAAGAAATGCGGCAGTTAAGTAGGACATTTAATACAGCCGTAACAGATTTATAGCAGTCGTAAAAGAGGGAGTATAATTGTAAACCAAAGCCTACTGCGATGGAAAATTAAAGAGGACATTGTAAAAGTTTAAATTTCCTAGGTAACACCACTGACGTTTCGCTGGAAATAAAAGATTGTTCTTATATATTGTTAAAATATTGTATTGTAAAATACTGCCATTCCGTACAGTTTAATTACTAAAGATCTGCGCGAGTCCTTAAATAAAAAAAGTTACACAAAAAACGATAGGACGAAATACAGTATTTTCTACACGAACTTTCAAGAATTTTTCTCGAGTATCTTCGATTGTTTCGTCTGGACTGTCGAGTTTGATGGATAAAAATTGAAGGATTTTTTGTTATTGTTTTAGTGGATAAAACAATTTTTTACGATGGAAGAGACAAATTTAAAAATTAAAAATTTTCATTTATTATTCAACACAACTTGAAAATATTTACATCAATAATAATAGAATTTTTAAACGTGATTTACATGGAAGCGTCTTAATTACTCAACGGTTCGATACGTTATTAAGGCCCTCTATATTATATTTTATTAAAATTCGGCAGTGAAGTCTTTAAACTGATATAAAAATATTATTCTTATAACAATTTTATGCATTTCTCTACTCTAGAAATTTAGTTTTTGTTAAAGGTTAAATTTTTCGAAATTTTTGGCTTGGACCGTTCTCTCGGGAGGAAAATTCGTAGAAGAAAACGAAAATACGAATTTTTTTAAAAGATAATATTGGTCGTAAAAAATGAACAGATACAAAAATATAAATAGAAGTTATAAAATCGATAAAAATATTTGAAACTTGAATTCGATACCCGTCGGATCCTCCGGGGATTTTCGTCTTAAAAAGTTAATCTCGAAAAGATTCTTCGTTGGGAATTCGTAAAAAATTCATATCACGGCTTCCACGAAATCTCTGCTTTCGTCGCTTCCGTTAAAACTGAAGATGCAGTTTGTATAATTTAGTTCTTCTCCTCTCTTCGGACTCGGATACTGACGAAGCTTGATTTCTCCGTACGTCTCCTCTGCATCCCCACAAAAAACAATGGTTTACGTATTACGAACTTCCGACGACGGATGCAAAATTCTATTTTTTATACAAAAATTTCAAACAATATTCATTTTTCACTTGCCTTTTTCTTCGTCTCTATAGCTGGAGCGAGAAGAGTAAGAAAATACGGCCGATGGTTCCTGAGTAAAATCCACGTAAGACTACGAAAAATGAGACAGAATTAAAATAAATTAATGTGGGAATTTTTTAAGTTTCCAACTTACCGCGGTGTCCTGCAACATTCGATCGAATTTTTGAACTAAATCTTTAAAAGACGGTCTCTGATGCGGACTCTCTCTCCAACAAGATCTCATTATCCTGTATCTAAAAATCAAAAAACTCTTTTTAAAAGATCTTTCGCTGTTTCTTTATGAAAAATAATATTCATCGTTCCTCTTCCAGATCGAAACCTTGACTTTTAGGACCGAATTTTAAGAACTAATATTAAAATTTCCAAGTTTCCTCTCAAAATATTGAATGAAATATCGAGAAAGAACGTGAAAACTATCGAGATATTACTAATAAATTATTAACAAATAGCGATTTTCGAGCAAACTGAACAAAATTACATGCAGATAAACATGTTTGTTTATACATAATGTATGACCAGGACACGCTCTTTTTGAAATTCTCTATTAAAAAATTTATAAATTTTCTTACGTAATATCTACTTTTCGCTCAATAGAAAATAATTGGAACTTTCTAAAGTATTTCGAGAATAATTAGAGCGAATGAATGCAAATTATGAATAACGATAATTAGTTTTTGATATTTAATTAGGGGTTTAATTTAAACTCGTGATTAAATATCAAAAATATATATAAAAAGGCTCGTAGACGTACAGTACCGGGGTGCCGAAGCGGCCGGATGGCAGTCTACCGCTCTGGGGGACTCGGGCTCGAATCCAAACGGGTCGAAAAATCCCCAGGAATTTTTCGGGGGGTGGTCCGTTCGGATATGTCGGGTCCCGTCCCTCGCCACCCGCAGCGGGGCTGCCGGGTGGTGAGGGACGTTCAATTTTAGCTGTGGTTCTTAGTAAAACAGAGGATGGCTTTTATAAACTTGATACTAAAACAGGTATTTTAAACAATTGTATGCAAAATCTGAATTCAGTGTTTGCAAAGAGAGATTTTTAACGAAAGAAGATGGATGTCCCTGCTGTAGAAATATCTTTACGTCAAACAGCAATAAAACAATCCCTTGGTACTGGGCAGGGTTTCAGAAAATGTGACTGCAAATCTAAATGTACCACAAATAGGCGTGCTTGTC